ACAGACACTACCCCAAAGCCACACCCACAAAACCTCAACCCACATCCTTAGACTCAGCTCACATCCATCACCCAAACTCACTGCCACTACCCAAACCCACAACCACCACACAACCACACAGAACCACGACCCACTGTTACCTCCACAACCAACAACCAAAACAACCATTCCAAAACCACCAACAACACAAACACAATCCCAAGCCACAACAACCATTCCAACTTTTGAGCTCATTTAACATACCAAAAAGTAGTTAACATATTATGCATATAGAAGAGAGTAGCTCACCCACTACAACCACCATAAAGTTCAACCTATAAGCCACATCCACCACCTCAACCCACAACCACCACACAAACACAGAACCCGCAGCATAAGCTAGAGCCAGCACACAACCACAGCTAGCACCCCAACCCATAACCACCACCCTAATCCACAGCTACCACACAACCACAGAACCAACAACACAAACTTGAGTCGCCACACAACCACAGAATCCCAACCCACAAGTACCACCACCACACAACCATGACCAATTCCCCAAACCAAAGCCATCATACAACCACAGAACCCACCGCTCAAGCTTGAGCCTCCACACAAGCACAAAACATTCACTAATGCAGAAATTAAATCACATTGGTAAAAAGCTTTTTTTATATTTTTCTCATGAATATAAAAGAAGAGTATAAAAACTCAAAAGCCCACGCATGAAAGCACTTATGTTTAATATAAAAAAGTAAATTATTAGCAAATAACAGGAGCTTCCGACCTCTCCAAATCTTGTTAATCAATCTTTCTCAACTTGTAAAACTAAGAAAACATATTATTTCGAAAAATAACAGAGGCATTACCTTACAACGCTATCATGATTGTGATTAACTAGCTAAAATAGTCGTCCGGAACAACTTGTTATGATGCTCTATTATCTTCCGATGGTTAATCATCAAAGAAGGTAAATATTGAAGATCCAGACAATGCATGAGAAAAGACAACAATGACTACTGCCAAATGGAATTTTGGGTCATTTATATGCATATTACAAAACTCTTATGTATTTTACATGGTAAATTTTGAAGATCCAGACAATGCAGCAGAAAAGACAACAATGACTACTGCCAAATGGAATTTTGGGTCATTTATATGCATATCACAAAACTCTTATGTATTTTACATGGTAAATATTGAAGATCCAGACAATGCAGGAGAAAAGACAACAATGATTACTGCCAAATGGAATTTTTGGTCATTTATTTGCATATCTCAAAACTCTTATGTATTTTACATATCTCATACCTAAACTTTCATATATAGACACATAACACAAAATACTTTCACATTAACTTGGAAATTTTGGTATTTTTGATGGATAACCTACATGGAGCTTTCTCTATCTGTTGGTACCATTGTGCTGCGTTATGACATGAATTTATACTGGCTTGAACATTATCTTATCTACGTTTATAAAAGTTGATAACGAATCATGGATGGACAGTATGTCAAATAATAAGCATTCACATGCATACCACCGAATTCCTTTTTATTTACATAATCGACATGTAAACATTACTTTTTACATGAACACCACCCAAATCTTTCTTTTCACTAAAAAAAAACCATTTTAACATTAAATAGTGAAGTTTAGGTGGTAGGTATGTAACTGCATAAGAATTGAGTGAAATGCATGTAATCTTTCATTGAGTGGTATGCATGTAATCTTCCATAAAAACGACATCAAACTAACAGCTACTCAAGAAACTAGATTGATGCATATTGTAAAACTATGATACAATACCATATAATCCACGAAGAATGCAGAGTTACGAAACAAATCTTAGTGTGGCATGGTTCTTCAAATTCTTGTTTAAAAAAACTGAAATAAAATCATTGCTTACCACTGGGGAACGTAGATGAGAGGAACCGGGACTGTAAGGGGATGTGCAGCAAAACCCTAACCGAAGCCAAAGCGCGAAGAAGAGGAGGAAGCGAGAGATCAGATAGTTCGGGCCGCGTTTAGGGCTGAAGAGAGAATGCTACGAGCTCTGAATTGCGAAACTAATTAGGGCAACGCGGTAAAAATTTACATAAGAAACATGGGCCGCAAGGTCTAGCCCGCGGCCCACGTTTTAGGCAAAATGCCTTGCGCCGCGCGTAGAATGCCGCCTCAAATGGTTGAATGTCGTGGCTTTACACCGTGCCGCTGCCCGAATGCCACCCCAAACGGGGCCTAAATCACTCAGGATGCAATGACGCTGGAGCTTCCCGTAAAAAAAGAAAAAAAAATTCTGTCGTACTATAGCTTCTATAGTACCGCGGGATTCGCTATTGTGGGTGACCGACTTAAATAGTCTCATTTTTTATTCTTGTGTTTTCTTTTATATTATTTTTCATTTTTTTAATTCATTTCCTATATATATGTTGTATTAGGGTTCGGGAGGAGGTGGTCTCTGTCTTTTCTAGCCTTCCGTGCAACCTTGCCTCCACTTCCAACACGCTTCCACCTGTAGAACCTGTGCCCCACCCCTTTCCACTTGTCGTCACCTTCCAAAATTCGTCTCCCTCACTGTCACAACCATTCTAGCCGCCATTACCACTCTCCGTCATTACTCGCATGTTGAATCCACTACCTTCCAACACCCCAAGCTACGCATCAACAGCCTATCTCACCGACCTCCACCATTGGGATACACTAGCTGTGTTTGTTTGTTTCGGTTGTTGCATTTCCCTTTCAGTGTGAGTTGTAACCACCTAATTTACTTTGCATTAATTATATTTTATTTTCCTATTGTTATTTAGGTTAACTCTAGTATAAGGCAAATCATTAACATTTTGTGGTGAACCGTTTGCGGTGACTTACAAATTTTGTCAATCCCAACTTAGGGTAAAATTTTACCTTTTATGGTCCGCCTTTTGGTTTTTGTTCCATGCACTTTGACTATCTTTTAGTTGCGCTGAGTTGACTTGCGACTAGCTTGATTTTAGCTGTGATGACATACGACTGTTTAATTTGGATAGGGCTGACTTAGGTTTTGGTCAAATTTTATTTGAGGTGCTTGATTGATTACTTGAAGCTTGTTGGGAAATGACTCGAGATTTATTCTCGGACATTCTCAAACCACTCTCTCCCAGGGGTATCACGTGGACCATTTTACTTGATTACTATCTTGGTTATTCCTTTATAAATTTTAGTCGTCAACATTCCATAATCAAATTAAATAAGATAAACTTAATAAAAGGAAATTCTTACCTAATTAATAAAAAATGAAATTATAATAATGAATTTAGAAAACACCTAATTGGGTAGCTTGATCAGAATTCTATCTATATTGGAATCTTGTTACGATAGTAGGCCTAGGTCTTAGATTTATGCCATATGCTTCATCATTGGGAGCATTAATTTTTCAATTTCTTATAATACAAATCAGTAATTTCTCAGGATTTGCAAAACCTAGATTGCTTTCTAAGTGGTTTAACAACTTCTTATTTTTTCCAGTAGGACATGGGAGCAGGTAGTAGGAGTGAAGCAGGACTTCTTATATTTAATGGTTCCCTTTGTGACCAAATGATATAATGCATAGAAATTATGCACACGAAATCAAAAATCACAGTTCAATGACCGCCAATTAAAATAAAATATCATTTTTTTCTTATGTCATGCAAAAAATGATTAATGATCATCTAGCAGTAATTCATCATAGATATTTAACATCATAAAAAATCATGCGTCTATCAACAACTATACTCAATCAAAATATTAAAATATTGCAAAAACCTTTGACCAAATAGGATGACACAAACTTTCACCAAGGGCACAAATTGTTGAAGAAAAAAATGAGGAAAGAAATCGTCAAAATTAGAAATTTTGGCCTCACATTGATAAGAATAGATAAATTTCCAATTACACCATACAAGAAGGATTCACACACCCAACATTCAAGCTCCAAGAATATAAAGTATTGAAGAAATTATTTTGGAAAAGCCATCCTTCTACTCACCTATGTTCTATTTATAATCAAGAAAACCCTACCTAAAGTAACAATGCTCTTCTAATTTACTATCAATGCCAAATTCTAAATCATGCTAGCTATTTTTAGATCTCTAAAGGCCCATTTCTTACCAACGAAAGGAACAAATCTAGCTACAGGCACAGGCTGTAACAACGAATCAGCCCCGTGAAGGATTCATGTGGATGAGGCATGTTTCTGCAACCATTTACATGTTTCAACAATATGCTGCCACCCATAGCATCAAATTTCTAGCCAATGAACAACTAAAGGTCTAAATGCCCATCCACAGAGAACTTGTGCCTTCCCGAAAATCTACAGGAATATAATTGCAGCATACCTTTTGTAATCGATAGCTAAACTAGTGAATTGAGCCCAACCAATTTAAAACTAAGATAGAGAACCAAATGTTGGACCCAGAAAACTGAACTAGAGATCATGTTACGATCCATCCTCTTACGAGATCATTAAGCATGTTTTCATTGTATTAAAGCAGAAATTTGAAAACTATGAAATTGTATAACTGAAGTGAATCATAGTTAAATGAACTTTTTCTGATCATCAATTTTGCCATACAACTGCATACGATTTATGTTTCCAAAAGTATAAACTGATATTTTCATCAGTGAGCACCTTTCTGTAAGATATTATTTTTAATAAAGATTTGAAGGTTTGCTTAGCTTGAACTTCATTTCAGTGCATTCATTTCCAAGTTTTTGTTTGCTTCAATGTGATATCAGCCTTCTTTAACTTCTGATCCAAATTTTTTTGAAAAGCATGTATATTTGCACCGTTCTTCCATAGGAAACCCATAATGTATGGCCTGTTTAGTAAATATGGCATTGGTATATACTATCATTATATTTTACTGTGTTACAAGGTTTTGTGTACCAGAATTTGTATAGAAATTCTCGTTAATATGACTAAAGCAACTCAAATTTCGTTTTCATCATTTTCCACTTTCTAGCATTCATTGCTCTTTGTTGCCTGGTGTTTTAGGTTGGGGATGAATGCTTTCTAGTTGTTGGTGATAACAATGACATCAGAGAGTTTACATCAATTCATCGATCTTCTAAATCAAGGGACACTACGGTATTTATGTATGGAAATCTAAGCAGAACCTCATCTGCTTGCTAATATTATTCCTTAAAATGTTTGTTCAGGTTATAGGGGACGGCAATCTTATTATGGGTTCTTGTCATATTGCGCATGATTGCAAAGTAGGTAATAACAATATTTTTGCAAACAATACTTTGTTAGCAGGCCATGTTGTAATTGAGGTAGTTCCTCCTTCAACATTTAAGATTCTGTGATGTTTGGCCTGTCCAATGGTTATTGCTAATTGAAGCGAAATATCTATTTCAATGTAGGATTGCAGTCATACTGCTGGGGCTGTTGTTGTTCATCAATTTTGCCATATTGGATCATACTCCTTCATTGGTGGGGGATCTGTGGTATGTTAGTTTTTTTTTTTTCATTTCAGTTTTTCTTGCATCATTCCCGTTTTTTTTTCACTTCTTCAATGATTCTCATAAATTTAGTGTTAGGTTAATTTCAAAATGTGCAGTTTTTACTTCTCATGTCATGGCTACTAGTAATATATGTTGTTTTCTATGTCACTCATTTGAAAAAAAGCTGCATGCAATTTTTCTCTACAATCGGAATTGCATACAGTTAGTTACATTTAAATTTATTTGATCTCTTTTTCTTTTAGTTTGGCTTGTGTTGACCTCCATGCACATCTCAAGCTTACTTGGGCACGACGATGGATGCAACAAGCAAAGAATAATATACTCTTGAGTCTAAGTTACTTCGATTGTCGTCGAGATTGTCTAAATATTTGCCCACTTGCGAGATGATGGACGTCAAAACATATACATGATGATTATTTACAAGAAATTTACCTGCATAACGTATACATGACATGAAATTTACCTGTGTGTGAGGTTGAAAATATACAGAGGATGTTGAAGAGCTTGAATGATGCATTTTGCGGGTGCAAAATGCAAATCGAGTCCAGCGACAAACATTCTGAGGTGCACAATGACAAAATTTGACGGGCAATATGCACTTCCCATTTCTTCACTACCCTATTTTGTATTACTCGTCCTATTCTGGGGAAGAATTAAAAAAATATATATATATTAAATAAATGTAACAGCCTTCCCTCTCTTCTATTATCATCTCCTTAAATTCTCCTCCGCATTCTCTCCCGTTTTCGTTTCCTGACACTGCCCATCTCCCACTCCCTCCTTCGATAACCCACTCCAGCTCCCCTCCTCACTTCTCCTTCACATCCCTCCCCGCATCTGCCATCGATGAGCTTGTGACAATCAATACAAAGCTCCCTTGCACCCACTCCGTCGTTCAACTCCTCCGCTCACAGCCTTACGCTGCCACCTGCGAACTTCCTGTCAACAATCAATTCAAGTTCCGCTTTTCTTCCTCGCGTGAAGAATCACACTGCCTCTCCCTGTCGAAATCTCGTCTTCCACAGAACCACCTCACTGTAGATCTCCCTAGCATCGTCTAACCTGTAAGCAGCTGCTACCATCTCAGCCTCATCTCATCATTCGGCGAGAAACCCAATCACATTCTTCTTCAATCTGCTGCCTCCTAGCCAGCCACACCCTCACTCGACCCTCTCTAAGCAGCAGGTTCTCCTCCATAACATTATAGCCATCAGTAAATTCCAACTCCATTCAGTCAATTACAGCTATCCATACCCTCTAGCTCTTTCTTTCCACTTTCCTCATCTATATATATATATATATAGGTTCTTCATCTCAAATTTGTCGACCTCGCACTAAATCTAAAGCAGGGAAACTTAAGTACCTATTCGAGGTGTTACACGTCGGCAGGGAAATCTTGCTTTAAGTTTCCATTTGGGGTTTTCCAGCTCGACGGGAAATTCTTGTTTTGGATATGTATACAAGTGCTGGAAGGCCAATTCTGTAAGTACCCTTTTGGGGTGTTCCGCCTCGGCGGAAAACTTCGTTATGTTTTTCACAGATACTTGAAGGCCTATACATGCTTTTAGCATGGTGGATTAAAATATTCTACTGTCGAGGTATCTTACAACACCTATCATGCATGTCTTTTTCGACGTGTTAGAAAGGACAACTGCTCATCTTACCTCATCAGGGGAGGGGACATCAGAGTATTGCTAAAATTTTGATTGAGAAAGGGTCTTAAAAAAAGTCAAACTAATCAAAATGAGGAAACAAATTATAAAATTAAAAAAAAAAATTGAATACACAATCTGTGATAAATGCAATTACTTGACAATAAACTTAAATAACATGTAAAGAATTGCATAACCTACCCACAAGCAGGAACACAGTTTGTAGTGAATTTGCCAACTCGCTCCCAAAATCAAATAGAAATTTCTGCTTCGAGAGATTAACACACGAATTTCAAAAGTTTTATGCAAATTAGGCAAAGTGTTTGACGCGTGGCCCATCTCTATTAGTAATAATTTTATAAAAATGAAAAAACTGATACTATTTAATACTTGCAAAATTTCAACCTGTTCCTAAAGTAGTCACCGAATCCGCAACCTCTTTTACGACAACAAATTCCTGTGATAACACACCCGAGATAACATATGAATTTCAATACAGGAATTTGCTGCCAAAATGTCCCAACATAATGACAAATTCTATGTGGTGAACACTAGGATATGATTTTTGAATTTCAATTCTAGAACCTACTGTTGAAATGTCACAACAGAATGGCAGAATCTGGCTGAAGAACAACAGACTATGACACATGAGTCTCTATTCAATAGTCTGCTATCGAAAAGTCCCAACAGAAAGTTAAAATTTCTCTTGTGGGGATCGGGGTATAACCCATGGATTCAATTGAGGAATCTACAACCAAAAGGTTCCAACATAACGATAAATTTTGTATGTTGAACATTTGAGAGCCACCCTTAGATCTAAATATGAGAAATTGCTTTCTAAGGGTCACAACATAATGATGAACTCTATTTGATGAGCATCAGGGCATGAACCAACATTCTCAATCAGGAAATTTACTGCTGAAAGGTCCTAGCAAAAAGAAATTCTATCCAGTGAACATTAGAGCAATGCCTAACAATCTCAATCCAGAAAACTGCTACTGAAAGGTTCCAACAGAAAGATAAAATCTGTCCGGTGAGCATTGGGGCATGATCATTGAATATTAATCCAAGAATGAACTGTTGAATGATTCCAAAAGAAATACAAACACATTTGAATATCGCTGTCTCATGACAACTTTTGGTTGACAATTTGAAGTATACACATATGGTGTTAAACTTCAAATGAGTCAACAATACAATAATAATAAGACTTTATCCCACTAAGTGGGGTTGGCTAATTGAATCATTTTTCTCCTTTGTGTTCTATTGAGTGTCCTATTTTCATTTAATTTTAATAGATGAAAATCATTTTTATATATTATGCCCAAGACTCGATAGGTTTATTTCTACTTTTCTTAACATAGGTTGAATCTAAAACATCTACTCAGATGGTCGACGTTTAATGTGCCAATTCATCTAAGATGACTCTGAAATCTTGTTTGCCAGTGGAGCTACACTAACCCTTTCACAGATATGTTTTGCATAGTCTCTGAGTGTCAAGCCGCTCATCCACCTAACAATTCTCATCTCAGCAACTCTTTAACTTTTTTTTTATGTTTCTCTTTTAAAGGCTAAAGCATTATAGGTCTCACCACCGTCTCATAAAATTTTCCTTTAAGTCTAAGCGGTACTTTTCTATCACACAATACAAAGAGTCTTTTAGAAAGAGTCGATGAAAATAAATCTATCAAGACTGTATTTTGGTAGAAGATAATTCTATTAGAAATTATTACATGTGGTTGACACCCCAGGGAGCTCTTTTATTCTTTAAATTTAAGAATAATATCTGCCAAGAAATCCCACTATTCATGACCACTATCTAGCTTGATAATGTAAACTTTCCCATCACTAATGCTAGGTTCATTTGATGTATTTATTCAGAGCAACAGTAAAAAGCCTCAGCTTGCGAAAATATCTCTCATGCATTTTAGCCTGCACTTAAAAAAAAGTATCACTCATGAAGAAAATTATCACCGGACAAAAGATTTTTTGATGCATAATCTCTAGATCTTAATCTTGGAATATACTACTAAAATCTCTTAATATAAAGACAAGCTCTGGAAGGTGAGCATAAGGTTATTGTACTTTAATTTCTAAGTTACTGCCACCAAAAGATCCTGATAGAGAGCCAACTAAGTTTGAAGATCACTCTTAATGGTGGCCAAATTTCTTATTGATGAGCTAAAGATTGACATATGGTGTTCAACTTCAAATATCTTTCAAGATTTGGTTCTTAAGGAGAATATTTCTAATAGTAATTGTTACATTGGTTGGCACCATGAAAGGTAGTATCTTGAAAATTGTTCACCTCATTTTTGTTAGGTTTTTCCTTCCTCTTCATAGAGCCTAGGATCTAGCCTAAGATTTCCTGTTTGACTTTCTTAGAGGACTAGAGTTGGGACCCACCCATCATAGAAATTCAAGTCACTTCCTGATTCTCTTGTGGGGTCTCGCTCGGGATCGAGTGGTTATGTTCACGGACCATCATCATTTGATTGAGTAGTTCAAGACCACCATGTGGAGACTCGGAGAGAGTTCCCAATAGGATCTCGAACCCTAAGGAAACCTTTCATGACTTCGACATTCACGAGCACTATAATTTACATATTTGTACACATAAACACCACAATTCACGCTGCTTACGCTTATGTACACTCCACAAATAGTTAATATTAAAATCAACTATTAAAATGACCAATTACGTTCCAAAACTAAACTTGACGCGTTCTTGACCTAATTGTCGACACATTTGTCCTAACAGACCCGGATGACAAAACAGACCGCGCGTGTGCGTCCTTGATGTCGACTTTTATGATCATTTGGGAAGTCTATTTGGCTTCGATTTTGAAGTTGTTGGCTGACCTTTTTGCATGTGTTTTGAGGGTTGTTGGGAGGCTTGCCTTGCGGTCCCTTTACCTTTGAGCCGTTGAATCCTCCTCGTTGTGGTGAGCTTCCCCTCTTTCCCCTTCTCTCTGCCGCCCTTACATAAAAACTATTTGGTGCTTCCAACATTGGGAAAAGGTTTAAATGTTGTATTTTAGAGTGTTGTGATATTAGAAATTTCAAAAGAGTTTTTTGAATTCATATCATTGGATATTTGAAGTGGTTTTAAATGCGGTTTTGAGGGTCGATCCATCCTTTACTTCTTTTCTATTTTAAATGGATCAATCCCTCCTCTCTCTCTTTTTCTCTTCTTTTCTTTCTTGCCGGATGATTCAATTAGTGCTGCTTAGATTTAGGTATAAGTGTGCATAGTATATAAGTATAGGTGCCATTGAGCAGGCTGTAAATTGCACGGTTTGGGGTGTGGGGTTGCGAAAGCAGAATAAT